TTATTCGAGTCCGCCGCGAATTTTGTGAAAAAATACAACAGCCCGTTTGTCCGCGGCGGACTAGTATAGTCCGTCGCGGTAGACCGCCGTCTGTTTAACCAGCATGATGCATTTAAATAGTGCACACGGTCCGTGGCGGACCGGCGGCCTGGCCGCGCGGACAGTCCGCTTTCTGTTTGACCGGACCTTTACACTTCAGCCACACACACTAATGATCAGACAGATCACTTACTACGCACACATTTACAAGAATAGATCAGCATGATTACAATTTGAAAATTACCTATTTTGAACTCCTTTAAAATTATCCGATTCCATCTCTATTAAAGTGATAATAGTATATGTGTTGGACCTTTGTTATTATTTTTTTACCTTTATTAACATGCATTAAAATAATTTGAGATAACACACTTTTTATAGTGTTGTATTGTTTTTGTTTATATAATATCAAAAAATTATTCATTTTAATGATATTTTATAAACATCACTCACAAAATACAATATAGGTTCCTACAAGTTAACTKTTCGTATAATAAAAATATGGTCACACGGCGTTAAGGATAGGCTATTTAAGTATACAACTGTTTTGAGTTCATATTTCTGGTATTTCATAAAATATAATGCTTGTTATAAATATCAACTGAATAATATATCTGTAATTACCTATATCATAATAATTTAAAATTTTATATAACTATATGAAAAACATTTGAAAATGAGCATATTATATATTATGTTTAATGTTTATAACATTAATTGTCTGTTAAGCACAATTTTTGGTAACCGAGAATAATGAGGTTAAACTAGTTATAATTTTGATTTCATGGATTGTAAATAGGTCGAGTTATGGCGAAAATTATAAATAGCTACACACCGCGTCACAAAGCCAATACATGCATAAATAATATTATGTCTTTTAATTATTTATAAATATGATATATAATGTATATCTTATTTTATTGCAAATCGCGTGAAATGAATTTATCATTAACTTGCAGAGTAATACTGCGTATTCACAACAAAATTTCAGCCCACACATAATATCAGTGGCGTAATTAGGAATTTGTCTTAGGGGGGGATAAACATTTTTTTCCACACAAAATACTTAGATTTTCAAGTACAATATCTGGGAAAACTATTTCATCAAAAATTCTTAAACTAATATGTATATATATATACTATATATGTACACAAAATGTATTAATAAATGTTCTTTAAAATTCTACACAATTTAGTACCTATACAATATTAYGATAATTTCTTCAAAATGTAAATTTTGAATATATTAGAATTAAAATTTACTTTTAAATTAAATAATAATTTATAGATTTCTTAATATTAATTATATTTTAATATATTTCGTCGTGATGATGTCAGCACGATAAAACATATAATTCCATAAGCTTCAAATTAATATATAAATATACACATTATATAGGCTCTGGGGGGGATATATCCCCCTCATCCCCCCCTTAATTACGCCCCTRCATAATATATGTACCTATGGCYAGTTAATGAGTCTCTAGTCTTGTAAAAATATCACATTTTTGTTATAAAAAACGTGTACACTAATATTATACTATAATAAAATAATATAATAATAAAATCACAAAGTTAATCGATCAAAAATGGATCAAATTCGATAAAAAAATGAATATTTACAAGAAGAGTATAAGACTGGAAAGACACTATTATTAGTTATTACCATCGGTTWTTACCAGTTCAGGCGTCTCTTGATTTTAGATATTAGTACCTACCTACGTGAAAATGCGGTGATTAATGACCCAAAAAACAAAAATTATATTCCAAAAGTAACCACAAACTTAGTACTTATTAATTTAGATATTTTTATTTATTTGTATTTTCACGAACTGCAGATAATACTAAGCTAATAATGAATATTGTAGTATGTAGAGTGTAGCGACGGATTATAAACAACGAAAATTTATAGTTGTTATAAGGGAGCCCTAGGCTACACTTTTTATACGAATGTATTCTCATTCATAATTATTTTTAGATTAAAAATATTAGAATCTTGTAAGAAAACATTTTTTTTTATTAATAAAGTTATTTTATTCTGACGAACAGAAAAACACTAGCTGTTCCTTGATAAGAAAATATAAAAATGTTTATTTTTCTTTGCAGTTGGCAATGTTTTTTTTTTATTTTTAGTTTTATACCTAACGTCTTAACATGTAAAAAATTAATTTTCATTCATAACAATAATTATTATTGACATTTATTATTGTGGGAAAGATAAATAAAAATAAAAATAGCTTTGGGCACAAAAACTCTAAATACATCTAAAAACTTAATTTAATACACTCAAGTATATTCGCATTTATGAGTACCTATAGGTAGGTACTCACTTTACGAAAAATAGACACATTTATAATAACAAAGCTCATAATATAATTAATTTTGATTAAGCAGCTTCGAACGAAATTAACATAAATATTTGCGACAGCACTAGGTACACCATTATTTGAAGTCAACCAAAACACGTATATGAATGGTGTTCCGCATTTTTGTCGAATATTTATACTGACGGTCATCTACAGAAACATCAGCACATTGTTTAAATTGATCAGTTTTTATGAAAATTCGATGAAGCCTACCCACAGAAAGTGAATCACGAGTTATCAAATCGTACTACATATAAAATAGTATTGTCAAAAGTATTGCAGGATGGACTAGCACGTGGTGATGAGTATAAAAGAGCGATTATCATATTCCAAATTAATATAACATTTTATTTTTAACTAYTCACCCAATATACCTAGGTAGATCGTGCGCAGGTACTCATATAATGTCTAATAATTATGTTGTATAGGAATTGTTGGGGATCTGTTTATTTTTGAAGTTATATACAAATTTTTCTTAAGAGGACGCCACACCCGCATGTGTTGTCTCCGTCTTACAAACGTAGGTATAACATAGCAAAATCTGTTTAGCGCGGGACAACTGTTCTCCCTCAATATTTATAATAGAATATTCAAAATTTCACAACGCGTAGATAAGAACTTTATCTGTGTCATAGCGTCGTTATTTTTTTGATAGCACAAACCAATAGTTTAAAGTAATTTAATGAAAAAATAAAAAATAAATGTATTTTCTTATAAGCTTATAACTTTWATTATATTTATGTTTTCAAAAAAATAACGACGCTATGACACAGATAAAGTTCTTACCTATGCGTTATGAAATTTTGAAAATCCTATTATAAATATTGAGGGAGAACAGTTGTCCCGCGCTAAACAGATTTTGCTATGTTATACGTTTGTAAGACGGAGACAATACGTCATGCGGGTGTGGCGTCTCAATACCTTGCTTTACTTAAATATTATTATGATTATATTATATATTTTTTGAAATTTGTAGGATAAAATCCAATGCGTCAGTGTATAGGTAGTAGGTACATTAATTATTGAAATCCGTTGTGTGCTACCTCCACATCCGGCAGTTGTAGCATTGTAAATCAGTGGTGCAATACCAAGAGAATAAGAACGCTTTTTGCGCTGTGGTATAAAATAATTTATTAATTTAACTAACTTAATATTGTCAACCAAAAACTATTTTATGGCATTTCGTATTAAGATTTCAAAAATTATAACACGACTATGAAAAACATTTCACAGCGTTCCATACTTCGATTTATAAAACGAAGTAATAGACGGCCGAGGAGGTGTCGCTTGAAAAATGTGTGCTTGTTCTACTTCTGTACATATAATAATATATATAAAAAGTCTTTTCACATCATTACACGAAAACCAACAAACATATAAAATATTTTTTAGTACACGGAAGTCTGAAGTTTGTGTCCTTGTGCAACGCGGTCAACATTTTTACCATGGTCAGGTGGTCTTTTTTATGACACACGTGCTAGTCTATTATATAGAGCTATGTAGTAGCCTAGTAGATAGAAATATAATATTCCTTAAATTATTATACACATTATACAATATTGTACATTAATACGCACACAGCTGCACGAGTAGGCATACTTAAAAGAGTGCATGCATGGTGCAGGTGTTCCGCCGCAGCATAAACAAATATTGATAAAAATAAGACGTGTACCTGCGCATATAATAGGCATGTCTACGGGTCATGCCTATCATACCATGTACGACCAGTAAAATATGATGTGTTTAAATGTGATAGCTATATCAATAACGTCAAGGTTCATCGTAAATATTAATAACTTTTTTATTATAACTGCGATATTATAACTTGTGAGGTTCTTTTTTTAATCTAGAGGGAATTCAGAATGATCCATGGTACTGGGGCCCGGACTTTCGAGGAGCCCGGCGTTCGTGTGCAAATAATTACTTCAACATATATTAGAAAAATGTTTCAAAATTAATTGCTATTTAAGAGGGGCCCGGATTTAGTTCTGTGATGCTAGTGCCAAAAATATGATTTGAGGAAGCTCACACAGCACGTTGAACGTTCTGCACCTGGTATATTGCACTTCCGAGTTCTGCAGATACCCCGCGTACAAAAAACGTCATCGCGAGTGCAAACTCTATGACTACCACACTTATATAACCGGCAATTTCGAAGAGTATTTTAGTAAGAGTATTACCACTAAATACGATATAGTGGTACTACGTGAATAGTAAGTATACACCTATAGGTATATAATGTAAATGTAGATTGTACGCAATCGTCCTCGCCCAAAGAAAGTCGAACACCTATATAGTGCGTCACCACTATAYAGGTACCTATACTCGCGACAAAGACCGACGGCAGGAATGTCACAGACGTTCACGCGCGATGCTGCGACGGCGGCGGCGGCGGCGGTGGCGGTAAAAGGAGCGCGAGAAAACGGTGTGAAAATCCGTCTGATAAATTATTGCTTCCTGCTAGTGGAAACGCGCGCCGCCGCCGTCCGATTTGCATATGATTACGTTATAAACCGTATATATGTATTTATAAGTTCTTTCACGCGRGTCAGTGTAAAAATAATAATAATAGTGATWATAATAATTACTCAGGTGTCGGAATCACGCGCGCCTGGCGGTCGACTGCGATTCTCGAGACAAGACAATCGGTCGTCGCCCGGATTCCACGGGTGCCGCGCGCGAGTACAAAAAATCTAAAAACCGAACGGTGCGGCGACTAGTAATAATAATAATAATAATAATAATAATAATAATTGACGCGTTTGTGTTTCGTCTCCGGTTGACGCCTCGGAACAATGCGCTCTTCGCCGTCAACGCGAATACCTGCAAAGCGTCAGTGAATGTTGACATGTGCAAGTAGTAATAGATAAGGTATGATAGCTAAGCCGCAAACACTAATATCGTTTTCCACCACAATGCATTGACTGCACCAGTGCATTTTTTTATGCTCCATCGGCAAGATTAACTTGCACTGAGTGGACTTTTTTATAATATGTTTCACCTCAATACACTACGCCAGTTTTTTGCACCCAATGCAATGATAAGTACCACAATACCCATTAAATATTTTATTATCTTTATATATATAATATATATCAGTGATAAGTATAATTTTATATTTCATCTACACTCGCACCAGCTGCACGTACTAGGACGACTATCGGTGAACTGTACCAATGCGCCACTTTATTGGTGCAATAGTGCGGTATGGGGGAAACGCTATAAATTTAAGTTCATAGTCATATTATAATGTAACGTGGTCGGGGATGACCCGTTAAATATAAGATATTCAGGGAAGAAACTATCGTTCTTTTGAATATATTRTCACCGTAGCTCGGGAGCATGAATGTTATTAGGATCTTAATATTACAAATAAATAACGATTGGTCTAAATTATTATTAATACAAACAGATTTATTATTACTTACGGTTTACRAACAAAGTTACCAAAAATGTGGAATTGTACGGAGTTCAGGTGAGCGTGATGGTAATCGCGGAGAACTAGCTTCTTCTCCATATTCCTATTTGGCCGTAGCCTTACAATAATATTTATATTACGGAACAGGAGGGGCTTAATACATATTCAGCATAATATTATTTATGTTATGTATATGATATACATATATGTATATTGTATATAGTATATAGGTTTCTATATCATGTTAATATAATATATATTGTATGTAACAATCGTTACAATAATAATTAATAATATTATATTTTATCTAATATTTTCATATATTCTGTAGTGCAGAGGTATTCAAAGTTTTTCATCCCATGCGGCTCCTTTGGGTGTTCACAATATTTTGACGGCTCCAAAATTGTTATGAAAAAATCGAAACAGGATTCAATATGGCCGATATGTTAAATGTGTGATAATAGCAGTGACTTTAGTACTATGAATAAAACTTCAAATGGTCGCGTTGTAAGGTGTGTTGTATTCATTTCCATAATGATTGCAAATAGCATTTATAAATTTAAAATTATTATACAAGACCTTGATATGATGATTTTCGATGCTTTGACGCGACTCCCTTTGCAAACTCTCCCGACGCCCCTGCAGGGARCCGCCGAGCTCGACGCACAATTTGCCTAACCTCTGTTGTAGTGGCTTAGATTTTATCCAATAATATAGCAGTATAACGATTAACCTTAAGGTCAACTTTTTTTAACCTTTAAGATTGAAACGATCGGTGCACCCATCGTGGTTTATTACGGTTAGGTTTAGTATTATGTCGCGGTCGTTTTTTGCCTTTAGGGGTAAGTAACACTGAAATTTGTTGTCTCCGTCTAACAAGTGCGAAACACACCAAATTTACCCCTCAGCAGATCACGTGTAACATTGTCAGCTTAAAAATTAGAGTGAATCGACCTCTTATCAAACTTAATAGTGAACATTATCTGAAGTGTAAGTATATTATGTGGGTTTTCTACGATAGTTCAGTTTTAAAGTGAATTATAACGCAAAACTCGCTAAAAAATCGTACTATTGTAAAAAACCAACATACGAACACAGATAATTTTCTTGCCATCGAGTGTCCTAAGAGGTCAATTTACTGTAATTTTTAAACTAACGAAGCTACACGCGATCTGCTGAGCGTAAATTTGTTATGTTAAACATTTGTACAATAGAGAGACAACAAATATTAGTGTTACGTCCTCTTAAAAAGACACCAGGTCGATTTTCCTTAAGTTTACTGCAAGATGAAAATGCGTGTATACCAATGAATCGAGTTTACGAGAGCTGAATGCTGATATATATGTTGTTGGACGCGTCGTTCTTTTTGGCTTTCTATCGCATCGATCTCCTTAGCTTTCTATACTGCACGAGTCATTCAACGCTATTGCCGCAACGTCCTAGATGCAAGTGCCTCCAAATCTCTAAAAAATTTGAGTACAACTCTGGATTTAAAAAAAAAAAAATCTCTCATAAACTCACACACTATACACATGAGACGTAGGTACTATTTACGGGGTTTTTCAATTGGACGCACACGATTTTCTAATATTATTCTAATCATTCCTCGAAGGACTTCGCAGTAGAACAACGTAACACGAATAATATGATATTAATATTATAATCACGTGACGGTAGCGGCGGCTGGCAAAAGAACTACGAGTAGAAAAAACACCGTGTGCGTTCGTTTTTTCGTACCCCTCCCACTCCCCTCTTTCACGGTTTGAGCATATAATTATAATTTTGGACCGTATACCTACGACGTGCCATATATATATATATATATACGACGTTACGGGTATATATCGTTTCGATCGCACGCGAACCGGAATTAGTTTTTTTCTGTCGTCCCTGTATACTATATACTTCCCCCACGGTACGGCCGCGACGCCGAATTGGTTTTGTCATTGTATTGTGTGTACCTATATATATGCAGCGGCGGCGGCGTCGACAACGACGACAATGACGAGTAAACTGTGATGGAACACGAATGTGTAAAAACTTTTCGGGTTTGCTCGTTATATACGCGCAACGTACCTACGTACCTAATAATAAACGGAAACGTTATATTTTATATTATAATATGCGTCTCGTCGTCTCACCCGCCCGCGAGTCGACATTAAAACAAAACGCGACGTGTACACATCGCCGTCGCCTCGTTTGGTAAAATATATATATATATAATATCACATAATAATATAATACACAGTGCTTGCCTGTTTAAAATAATATATACTTTGTAGGTTTACAACGACGTCGACGTGTATCATAACGACCGCGACGACGACGGTAGGTACCGCTTTTATAATATCATGTAAAACATATACACGTGAAGGGAACGACCGCCAATATTATATTATGCTGCGATGTGTATGGAATAATATGGTAATAAAATAATAATTATTATCGTCGTCATCGTCGTCGTCAGTTACCTGTACGTATATACTACATATATATTATACACGTCATTAACGTACGGCGAAACGCGCGTGGTGCTAGACCGAAAAAGACGATTATAATTCGATACGTATTATAAAACGTATAATGTTGTACTGCAATAAGTGAACATCGTCGTCGCGTTTACCGATCGTATCGGATACAGAGTAATAATATAACGATATAATGTATATTAAAGGTACTGCGCGTTTCATTAAGAAAAGCAGTGGGTAGGTAATATCATTCCAAACACGCTATGCACTACTCATATTTATTTTACTCATTTATATGTCGAATGCCCAATATAAAATATTACATTAAAATAGAAGGGTCGGTTTTTTTTTCTTCATATTATTATATTTTAGTAAGTAATAATGTCTATGGTGTAGGTATTAAAGACCCTTCGGATTCCCGACTMTTCGTCGTCCCATATTATGTATATAATATACATTGTGTATATTTCATACTACATACAATATAGGTACGTATTATACGTGTAATCAAAAATTAAACGATTCGACAATGATTCGTTGTGAATATAAAAACGTAATTATCAACATTATAGTTATATTAATTTTGTTTTTTTAACCGATTACCTATAATAAGTTCAATTTCCGATAGCATTGTTGCTGTGTATTATATAATACATGAGAAGTACAAATAAGTGGGTTGGAATTGGAAACATTGGAAAAAAGATTATTACGAATAGAAAATACCTATAATTACAATAGATTTTAATATTTAACAAAATATGAAAAATACGAAACCACTATAACAGTAGTTATAATGTATTTATAGGTAGAATAAATATATATTACCTCGCCGGGCTGGCGGGCTCGTCGGCTTGGAACACTGGCTACAAGAACCTTAGCTTAATTATAGGATAATTACAATATTAAGGAATCGTTTTAATATTTTGCTGATTAGCTGTTATATTGTACAATAGTAAAATCATATTTGCTATTTTCGTCTTGCCCACATTTAAAGTCTAAAGGTGTTGTTAAAATATTTATTTCACTATTGTATTTATAGACAATTTATTGTCTAACGGTTTTTTGTGTTTACACAGTGTCCCGACGTTAATATGTATTAAAAACAAAGTAGCTATAATTATATTTAAAAAATTAAAAAACATTAAAACTATAACTTCCAACACGTATAATAAAAAATAATAATTGCCACATAAAATGAGATGGTTTTAACATTTATTATATAGAAAGAATAAAAATATATTTATGGAAAATCATAATGTAAACAGAATTTATTAATTAAAATTCTTTTAAATTTAAACATTCTTTACCTTATGGTTTTGTTACAATAGATAGTTTATTTTTCAATATTTTACGTCGACATTTTTATAGCCATATCTAGTATTTTTGTAATCAAATTTTCATCAATTAACTTCAAACAAATCTTAAAATACAGATTCAAATTGTTTTTTTTATTAATTATTATGTCCCATCAAGAAGTATAAATTAATTTGTATCTTAGAACCYAGAAAAAGTTGTATCTATAATTGGTACTAAACTAAGATATAGTCTAATCGTCATTAATTAATTTTCAAATACCTAAAAGTGTGAATTATATTTATTTTTTAAAATTATTATAATTATTGTTAAATGTACCTATTKATGTTTCATCGATTGGATGTTTTATTGGAAATTKATGGTTTTGTATAAAAATGAACTTTAAAAAATAATATATCATGTGAAGTAAGTAGTAACTTCACATAATATAAGCACACTTCAATAGAATCAATTATTTATGAATTTATGATGTACCTCACATCGATTCGCATGGAATCCAATAATTCATAATGTATAAGTACTATTGGATGTGAACAAAATAAAACTTAGTTTAAAATAATAAAATGAACAAAACATTTTAATTAGGAAACATTAAAATGAATGAGCAATATTTAGTGTTATTTTAAAAGCATGCTCWGAACACTGAACAGAGATATAATTGTCAAGTATTGACTACACAGATATTGTAAATTTATTTTCTATTTTAAATGTTAAAAATATAAATAGAATTATTTCTATCAAATATTATGCATTTTTTGTTCAATTCCTGTTTTTACTTATAATTGGAATTTGGAATGATAAAATATTGTTTATAATTTTATTCGTAATTGTACAATTCGTGAGATCGTTTGAATAAAAAATTTAAATGAGGAGACTACCATGTGCCTACCTATAATAGGAATAGTTCAAAAGAATTTCACAAAACCTTGAAATAATTCGAAAAATACATATGAAATCTACCGAAATATGCCATTGTAATCAGAGAGGCAGAGAATAATATCGAAGTTAATTCTAAAATATATCTTCAAATGTGTTGCATTCCACAATCCGTCAGCTCAACTCAGTTATTTCCCACGATAATAAAGCATTCAAGCCATTGATTTATACTTTCTCTTTGACATTATAATGAATTTGTTCTTGTGTAGGTCAAGATTTGTATTTATTTATTTATTATAGATAATAATATGATAATTGTATACCAACTATTCGATATTATTATTATTTATAAGAAAATTACTCATACCTACTCTTGTTTCGCAACTCGCA